CATTATTAAAAATCTTTCTACTTCTTTTGTTGTATCTGACTTATTTTGTGAGAAGTACCCAAACCACAGCCATTTTATAATGCCACACTACAATATCTTCTGCCACATCACAGTGTAACATTTCTGTTTTCCCTTCATCTTGATACTTTTTCAAATTAAAACACATTTTAAAGAGCTTACCTTGTCTGACTACGTCCATTTTTGTCCACAATTTTGCACTTTTCTTTGTTCGATTCCATGAGCAACCCTTTGTCCAATACTCTTACCACAGAGAACAAATTCACTTTTAGTTTAGGCACGTACAGTACATTATTCAATTCAGTTTCTAGCCACTGTTTACCATTTCAGGCTTGTAGCTTAATTTTTCCGACTCCCATCACTTCAATAAATGTTCCGTCTCCAATCTTCACTTTCTTATTGTTTTCTGATTTTTCAAGATGCACAAACTGATTTAAGTCTTGACACTTGTGATCAATAGCCCCAATGTCCATGCACTAATCTTCAAGACATATATTTGACTCCCTGATTGTTGTCAAAACCTCTGATGTATTTGCTATTTCCAGCATTCCTACAAAAGAATTGGAAGGTCCTCCCCTTGTTCCTGTACCATTATTTTTCTGTTTGTTGAACCAAGACTGAGCCATATTATGCCCAATTCTTCTACAATAGTGGTATCTCAATCTCTCTGAGTTTTCATCATTTTCTTTTACCCTTTTTTTGTAAACTAGGCAGTTTTTCTTTAGGTTTCCATTCTTACATACAAAACATTTCATTTCGCTAGTGGCTCTCAGTGCTTCAAAACTTGCAGCTGAGATATCTGTTTTGTCCTCTTTTTGCATCCTTTTTTCCTCTATTAGCAGTCTTGAAGTTAACTCTGACAAAGTTTGTCTATCCAAAGGTGTGGATTCTCAAGCGGAGACAAAATGTTTTAAGTTACTGGGTAGTGACATCAGCACTTTTGTCACGAGCATTTGTCACTTAATTCCTCTCCAAGATGTTTTAACTATCCCTTTATATCTTCATTCTGCGATAAAAAGTCTACTACACTACTATTCTTGAACTCGAGGTTAGAAAACTTTTGCTGTAAAAAATGCACACTTACTACATACTGATGCTCATAAATTGATTTCAATTTTTCCCACATTTCTGCGGCAGTACCTACTGCATGTCATCACATGATTCATTACTTTTTCATCTAACCTTTGTGTTGATGCAACGATTTCGCGTTAACTTTTTTGTGGGTCAAATTTGACCCTGTATAATAGAGGCATGCATTTTGCGTTCCATATATCGCTGAAGAATAGAAGCGCAGCGCGCGCCTGCTACAAATACCTAGCGAAAAGGGTAGAACAGTACCGACAGTATATACCATTGATACGACAGTTCCAGTTTGGTGCGAACCCACTCCATTTCTCGGCGGTTCCCAAAAGATTTTCGCGACCGTTGAGTTTTATCGTACATATTTCGCCGGTTGAACAATTGATCGTGCGTTTAAGCCTTCCAGGGACGCCCCTAAAGTTACGAGACCACAGAAGCCAAATTGGGTAAGCGACAAAACCTTTTTGCATGACCTCACTTAATTTCTCATTTTTTCGTGTAATAAGGACGCAATAATCGCAATACAGTCCACTAATAATTCAAACATAATAATTGCATCCACACTTTGAATAATTACTTCTTGAGCCTTTGCGTGCACTTGGAATTTCCAGCTGTTCCAATTTTCCAGGTTTTCAGATTATACTTCCCTAAAACCGGCTATTTCTTTTATACTTCCTCAAACCGAGTATTTCCTATCGACATCTTCAATATTCGATAGTCTTGCCCATCCCTACTAACGCCCCTTGTCTTCTAACCTCAACTTTTTTTTTTGGAATCTGTTTGACGTATTTTTGCAGTCAAACTACCAATGCACTGGGCCCATAACCTGTTGCGCAATGGGCAGTATATGATAGGCAATTTGATGAGAAATATTTTATTAACTGAAAACTGTAGCTAACAATTTCTTTTGTGTTTTTTCCAACAACTCAACACGACTAGCAGCATCAGACACAACTGCTGACTGACACTTGACAACTGACTTACAAACACAAATCACTACCACCTAAAAAAAAAATATTGTTATGCCTTTTCTTTTACATCTGTGAAGATTGGTATCTCATTGTCCCTATGTATAGAGGTTTCATCCCAATCTTCTCTTGAAGGCATAGTGACCTTTATCTTGTCCTGTGTATTTGGCCACTATGTAGTCCGTTGCCTTAAGGAATGTTTCGGCCTCTTGGACTGATCTGGACTGATGACTGCCTTTGTTCTTTCTACATGTTGCTTTTTGACCCCACCATGAAGCGTTATTTCGATACATTGACCTGGAATCCTCTCCCGCTACTTCTAAGAAAAATAATTATTTGTTTAACAGTAGATGTCGCAACTTCCTCGATTACTTATCGGGGTCAACGGATATCGTAAAAACGTGAGGCCACATGAATCAAAGGATGCCGAACTCGTGTTGGCCATAAATAATGTTTAAAGTAAAAACATCGCGATTTACTCGGACAGCCAGGCGGGCCTAGAGGCAATCAGCTCCCAGAACATCAGCTTCAAGGTGGTTGGGGACTGTATACGTGCCCTAGAAGAAGTGAGCCTGTCCAATAAACTAACCATAGGCTGGGAACCAGGCCATGAGGGCCACCCAGGAAATGAAAAGGCCGACGACTTAGCCAAAGGAGGCTCGGACACTGAGATGATAGGCCCAGATCCATCCTGCGGAATCTCTGCAGGCCTTTTTAAAACATCTATCAAAAACTAGATGGACAGAGAGCTCCAGAGTCTGTTTTTTCTTTAAAGATAAAAGTCAAAATGACATTATGTTGGCAATACAATGTAAAATTGTCAATGCTTTCAAATTTTTTATGTAGAAAATGCTTGTGTTGCCAACATAGTTACTAAATTTTTGACTTGGGGAATTATCTTTAAAAAAAAAAACAGACTTTAATTATTTTTGTATATTTTGGACACATTTAAAAGTACTATTTCGTACACCTAGCGACATATATAATTCTACTGATTAGTTCTCCTAACCTAATATCGAGAATTCTGTTGTCCCGAGTCACCTGTAGCGCTGTCATTTTTATGATTTTGATAGGCTTGACAGATTAAGAAAGAAAAGACAGAACCAATTTGGGTACTTTTGACATGCCCTTTTCTCTTTTGTTTTGGGACCGAACAGGTTGTCCAGATCTTTAGAATCTTAAAAATTTTAAAACTTTATCTTTGTTTTTGGCCATCGACTCCGTAGTTTTGAAAATTAACTAGCCAGAAGAGTGCTTGATCTTGTCTACTAGAAAGTTTCCTGGAAAATCAACCGATTGTTGATTTTTGTGAAGATTTTGGAAAGTGAGGTTACTATCGGCCGTTCAGGCACCTTCGGCAGGACGAAAAATCCGTCCCTGCACTTCTCCAAGTGAAAATTGACAAATTTGAGACCACGCTGTCCTGGAAACTCAGAGCAAATTTGGGTAATTAAGATGGCACGTTTAAGACACCCATAGGTCAGTAATTATACAAGCCTGGACGGAATCCTTGTAAAGTTTGGAAGTTTTCACAAATTTGAGCTCTGGAGGTACCAAACTGGCTGGAGACAACCAAATAATGGTTGGGGATCAACTTCTTCAAGGACACAAACTTTCCATGTAAAGGGGGCCCAGATTTGCTCTGAGTTTCCAGGACACCGTGGTCTCAAATTTGTCAATTTTCACTTGGAGAAGTGCAGGCACGGATTTTTCGTCCTGTCGAAGGTGCCTGAATGAATTGAGGGGTATAAGGACTCATTCTTCAGAGAGAAAAAGGAATTTACTCGCCTGAACGGCCGATAGTAACCTCACTTTCCAAAATCTTCACAAAAATCAACAATCGGTTGATTTTCCAGGAAACTTTCTAGTAGACACGATCAAGCACTCTTCTGGCTAGTTAATTTTCAAGAATACGGCTTCGATGGTCAAAAACAAAGATAAAGTTTTCAAGATTTTTAAAATTCTCAAAATCTGGACGACCTGTTCGGTCCCAAGACAAAAGAGAAAAAGGCAAGTCAAAAGTACCCAAATTAGTTCTCTCTTTTCTTTCTTTGTCTGTCAAGCTTATCAAAATCATAAAAATGACAGCGCTACAGGTTTCTCGAAAATAACAGCACAGCATAACAGTCTCGATATTATAAAGGCCGGTATTAGTTAGTAGTTTTTAAGTTTAAGATTTAGATAGTGATTATTGTTAAGAGTTGCAAAGATTCAAGTTGTTTGATTTAATTAGTGAAGAAGTTAGTGTCATAGCGTGTAGTAACGTGGAATAAATATTGTTGCGTTAATTGGACTTTGATTTTGGAATAAACGAACCCAAGATTTCTGTCACACAAGCTAGACGACAGGCAAAGCAGTTCATCAAATCCTGCTCGCTCAAGTTCACAGCAGACCTATTGAGCCACAGCCGGAAAATTGTTAGGATAGCGGTAGGCCAAATAACAGGACATAGCAGACCTCGTTGCAAACTTAACAAGCACCTAAAAAGAATGAGCCTGGCAGAGGATACCCTGCGCATGTTCTGCCTGGAGGTGACACCACAATAAATCTAACAAGGTTGCAGTGGTAGAGGACGCCTGTGCGCCATCTCTATTTAAGCAAATCTTATCTAATCTATATGCATTAGTCACTTGGCCCACTCAATTTAATTACTTCCTTGCTTTTAATATTTTTTTATTGCCTTATTCATGGGTTCAGGAACCTCGCGATGTCATAGGACTAGCAATTCTTAAATTATTTTTTATTTCAAATTTGAACTTAGAGAATATTTTAATTGATTTGAGAACTCAAACCCTGCTAATCACTGCTTCGATTAGTTCTATGTTTCATTCTCCTATACGCACATTCACTTCTTTGTTGAATTAATGATATTTTAATGAACACGTCATTTTATCGTATAGGTACCTATTATTTATTTATGGTATTTTTTCATAGTGGTGTCGTGGTGGTCGTTGCATAGCTAAAACCACCAATGCCAAAAAAGCTCACAGCAACGCTTTAAAACAAAGTCCAGAACTAGACCAGATAAACGGCGGCTGGAGCGATTGGAGACCCAGCGAGTGTGCATCAGGTTGCCTTTTCGGCGAAGAAGGACGTTTGAGGAGCGGAAGCGCTGGAATTATGGTTTCAGAGAGGTTTTGTAACAATCCTAGGTAAGCATTATCATAACTTATAACTAGAAGTGTTATTGATGGAATATGTTTGAAGGCCTGAGGGTATTGGTCAAAAATGCGACGGTCCGGAACGTAAATATCAGACTTGTAACGCCCAACAGTGCCTTAATGTTCCAAGATTGACTATAAGAGAGTTTGCTGAACAAATTTGCACTCGTGCCAAGGAAGTGGATAAAGATTTGACTGGTTCGGGGATGCAAAAAATTAGTTCAGACCGTAAGTCGACTTCGAGTTTTTGTTAAAATACATATAGTTTATTTCAGCCGAAGAAGCTTGCGTTGTTTGGTGCCAAAAGCGTAACGGTGGTACTAAAAGTAGAGGATGGACGTTTCCAGATGGCACAGCTTGTCAGACTAGGAGAAACAGATATGGCAGAGCTAGCTATTGTATAAACGGACGTTGTGAAGACTTTGTATGCGACCCATTCGATGAGGCTACATTCACTCAGATGAGCGACACGTGTCCTGTTGATAGAGACAGTAATGAGTTAACATGGAGAACAGGTAATGATTTTCAGTGTTAACGTCTGATTATTATAATAAGCAAATATTTTCAAGGGCTTAGAAGAAGAGAAGGAACAATAAGATGGAAAAGCGCCAGCGGTTGTCATTACAATTGCATATCACCAGGATCTGGTATCAGATTGGTAATGAACAAAAAACTGGCAAAGAGTAGCATTCAGTTGTGTCAACCTGAACAATATGTAAGAAAAATATTTATCTAGAAAATAAATTTTAATGATCTTTCACTTTCTCATTGGTATTGGTGATGGACTATGACATCCTCTTTGTAGCAATTCATATTTAACATAAATAAACCATTTGCAGGGATGCGTGAAAGTAAAAACAGCTTTCCAGCATGCTTCGATGATTTGTTCGAAATATAAGGACCGAGTCCGAAGGTTGTCTGGATTGGGAATGCAGATTTCACCATCATTAGGTAGGTAACACATTTGAACAAATCTTAAATAATTATAACCTGATTTTTCCAGAGGATCCAGATAGACCTTGTAGAGTTGCTTGCCAAGACGAATCCATATCACATAGGTTTTACTTGGTTAACGGCGAAGATGGTTGGTTTCCTTTTGGCACTGATTGCTCTAAAGGTTCAACGGAAAAAAATGCTTATTGTATCAGTGGCAAGTGTTTGGGTTTCGGTACAGACGATACACCTCTGTCAGAAAGTGAATTTACTCTACCACTTTTATCAAGGAACAAAAGATCGTTGGAGAAAAACAGCAACAAAGTTACTGTCAAGTTGAAACAAGAAGAATTAGATGCTATTGTTGAGAAATTTAATAGAACTTTATCAGGTTTAACTGATCACTCAATGAAACTATTTGATGTAGATTACAATAATCCAGTTCATATACATAAAGATTCAGTTACAAAGCCTTATGATCATTTTAGTCATGACTATGATTATACAGCCTATAAAGAGGATATTATAAATTATACCTGAATATAGCTGATATTTAAATACATTTAAAAAAAAAAAAAAGATAAATTGTTTTATTATTGAAGTTCCACTGACGAGTAAAAACTGGGTTTTTATTGAGTCAATTATTGAGTCTTTTCCATCTTTGAACCACTTGTAACTCATCACCTCAACGCATGCGAATAAAAATGCCTGAAAGTTTCACCAGCCGCACGTTTCCGGTGCCGTGCCGTCAGTTCATTTCCACAGCTGGCGAAGGGGGGACGTATTTCCCTCAATCATTTTCCGGCTGGAACGTGGTCGAATTTTTCAGTGCAATTTCGAGCGTGTTTTCCGGTAAAACTCCGAGCCGATTTTTCACAAATATGACTACCAAGTTTTTGTTTGTTGTTTGTGCGTTGGTGGTTGTTGGATATCCGGATAGGATTTTGGCCGGTATGTAGTTAAAGTTTTGTAGTGGTTCGATTAAAACTTTGGGAATTTTGAAACTGAAAACTTTTGGTTTGAACAGATTGTAGTATCTACCTAGGTTTTTATTGGCGGTCAGATAAAAAATTTCTATATGTAGCCTATAAAACATATCAGAACAAATCCGGTAGTATTAATGGATTTCAAATTATAAAGCTTCAAAGATAAACTTTTGTTGAAATTATGTCTAGAAAATTGGACCATTGCTATATGAATCAAATGTACATTTTTGGAGTAGGTACATATTGATAAAGAACTCCAATCACGTTAAAATTTTGTATCTATTGATAGTCATTACCGTTTGAAAATTTTAAATACAGAACTTTCTTATTGGTTTAGGTACTCCTCCTATTTTTTCTTTTTAAACTTTTTCTTCTTAACTTCTCAAACCCCGGAGGTCCAACTTTATGTTTCTCAAGATATAGGGGTTTTCAAGAGTTGGAATGTAATGAAATTTGTTATCACAGAAAAGTTTTTCATGTATCGAAATTATTTCAAACCTTGATGATGTTCTTCTTCCAAAAAACATGAAAAAACAAAAATAAATTCGTTACAAAATACCACTTGAGTAAATTCGATAGGTAACTCTTAAGAGTTTTCAAAAAACGTAGTTCTCTATTTTTATTATTTAGTCCCTCGGTCTCAAAGTTTTAGTAATTTTTTTTTTCAATCTCCTTTCTTCTTTCAAAGTTCCTTTTTATTATAAGAAACCCTTTTAACATAACTTTGGGAAGCTGCACTTCAGAAAGAAAATCATAAAATCAAGCACCGGACAAGAAGGAATTTTTAATTAATTAAGTGCGCTGTAGTAACCAAAAGTTTTAATGTAAAGTTTCTTTGAAAAATATTTTTTTTATTCAAAATAAGGCAACCAATCATTTTTTCAATTCGGGTTTGTTAAATGCGGCACCTGATGCCGAAATTCCCATTTTTTTTTTCCACAATATTTATCACTGCAAATTGACATGTGGGGCTTTGCATAATAATTTTGCCCAGGTTTTTTTTTTTGGGGGAATTTTATCACTATACCGATAATGCTAAAGCAGCATTATTTTTATTTTGTGATTTGATCAAATTTTGTTTTATATACCCACATTTTAGTTTTTACTGAGCAAAGGATAGAAGTGCAGATGCAAGTTTATCCTTTTCAACGACAGCAATTTATTAATAATTAGCTACACTCGTAATAAGAAGTTATCGCCTTTATGATTTTGAGAGAAAAAGTCAAAAAATTATTAAGGTTTTTGTTATCATTTGGGATCTAAATCTCTTTTTGTAATTTTTGGGAAAAAATGCTCAATAGAGAACCAAAACAGAAAGCACAATACAAATTATTTTACGACTCACAAAACTTGAGAAATGAAGAGTGAATACTAGAAAAAAATTTAGATAAAAAACATACATTTTCTATTCAAGACTCTTGAATATTTATTATTTATTACCAATCTAGAATTTTGAGTTTATTTAGAGAAAGAATAAAAAGAAGACAGAATCTCATGAGCGAGGAATGAACAAACTTTGAGTCATAAAAATAGGAAAATTGAAGATAGAAAACTCTATTGGTAGTGAAGTAGAAATATCTCTTGCAGACTAGCAGGAAAACATTGTATATAATTACAAAATAGCAATATTTTTTTCCAAATTTAAAATTTATTATCCTGTAATAAATGTATTAATTATTTTCTTTTTACCAAGCCGAGCCAAGCATTTTTAATGTCATCGACATTACGAACAGTGGGTCAGTAAAACATATAAGTCAGAAGTTTAATTAATTTATTAGTTAATTACGTTTGTAAATATTGCATTTATTTGTGTATAAATACTGTTACCGTTCCTTGAAGAAATTAGAAATAAACCATCAGTCGCTTGTAGTCGATCACGCCCACAGTCAACTGCTTACTACACAGTGTTACTAAGCACTCTATCAAGTATTCAACAACAAAGAAGAATTAGGTGCTCAGAGTGTAATCAGTCTTTATATGCCACCTTTTCTAGTTACAAGACTTTTCACGCAACGCCCCCCCCAAAGTTTCTAAAATACATCGAAAGTTGGGAAAACTTGGATGAAAAATTAAAAGTTGGGAAAAATTGGCAGACAAAAATTTGCGCACCTTATTTGCGAGGACTAATTAAAATTAACATTAGGATCATCATGCTACGTGTCGTGATTCGTAATGAATTGCAAAATCACCGGACAACAGGATCTCTTGACGAAATCGTTCTTATTTTTTTCTCACTTTATTTGAAATGATATCGCAAAATAAACTCCACATTTTCAATTGTCACTTTTTCTCCACTACATGATGATGTTATTAGATTTTTGATTAGACGTTTCGTTTCTTCGCGATCATCATCAACTCTGTTATTTCGAATGGTCGAATTTTTTTTATTTTATGCCCAATAAACTCTGCTTTTTATTCTAAATCCAACGACATAATATCTAGCTCATAATTCCAGAAATAATAATTTCCACTAGTGGTCCCATGAATGGGCCTCCGCGATCTCCGGTCATTACACAGATGGATTTTGTCTTTTGAGGATTCCTTAAGAATGAAGTTGACTTTTCAGAATCCATCGGTGTAATGCCTGGAGATCGCGGAGGCCCGTTAATGGGACCACTAGTGGAAATTAATAAATATTCCTGGAATTATGAGCTTGATATGAATGATATGTCATTGGATTTAGAATAAAAAGTAGAGTTTATTAGCCATAAAATAAAAAACTCGACCATTTGAAAAAACAAAGTTGATGATGATCGCGGAGAAACGAAACGTTTGATCAAAAATTTAATAACATTATCATGCAGTGGAGAAAAAGTGGCAATGAGAATGTGAAGTTTATTTTTGTTGGAAACAATATTCCAACAGTAAATTTAAAATTCAAATTTTAATTTTCCCGGTATGCACCGGAAGTGTGCGCGTATGTGTCAAACAGTGTCAAAAATCACTTGTCAAAGTTTTTGGTAAAGTGGCTTCCGGCATCTACGCGAGTGAACCAACGGGAACAGTCAGTGTCGAATCGAACCTCACCGAGCGCACCAGATAATTCTGGGCAGGTCCTATATGACCATTTTTACAGACTCTATAAGTCTAAAAACGTAAACAAAAACGAGAAAATGCAAATTGTAAATAGTGTAAATAGTCGTGTGTGTAAATAAATGTAAATATATTAATAATACAGTCCACTCTCATTATTTTAAAGAATCCAACAATTTTGCGATATCGCATTTCAAATAAAGTCAGAAAAAAATAAAAACGATTTCGGCAAAATTTGGTTTTTCATGGATATCTTTGGAATCATTCGGAATTTTCAAAATATCAAAACATATCTTGGGCGGCGGTCTGATATGTAGACGAGAATATGGAGAGTAACTTGAAAGACGCATCACGTAACGTCACGTTTTGGAAAATTTCGTTACACGAGAGACGAGAGAAAAGGAAGATATAACGTAGACTGTAGAGAGAAGGTGAAAGCGAGCCAATGACAATGACAGATGAGCAACGATTGACACAAACCAAGGATTATAAGTAGAGAGGATTGCCTAGTATTGTCAAGCAGTTATACCCTTGTGACGTCACTATAGATGCGCGTCTCCCTTTTGTGTGGCTCTTCGTATTTACCCCGACTCATGTGCTAAGTCTAAAAGCTGTATGAGGGAGGGTATAGTTTTTAAAAAGTTACACTTCTCAATACGTGTATAATGCTACACATGATTTTTTTGAAGTGAATAAAGCGATTTGAAAGACGCGTCACGTTACACGTAACGACTCGTTTTGGTAAATTTCGGCACACGACAGACGAGAGAGAAGAAAGATATAACGTGGAGAGACGGAGAAAGACAGCCAATGAAAATGACAGCCGACGAACGATTGACACAAACCAAGGATTATAAACAAAGAAGATTGCCTATTATTGTTAAGCGCCGATGCCCTTGTAACGTCACTACAGATGCGCGTTTTTTTTTGTGTAGCCTTTCGTCTTTATACCCCGACTCATGCGCTTTGTGTCTTAAAGTTGTATGAGGAAGGGAATAGTTTTTAATATTATTTTTTTTAATGTTTCAATAAAGTTGGGAAAATTAGGAATGTCACCCCCTTCCCAAACCAGAGGCCTTCGCTACGTCCCTGCTGAGTGGTTCTTGTCAGTTATCTATTCAATTCCCTAATTTTTCTCAATACACTTTGAACCTCAACATTTTTACACCAATTAATGACAAACACACACTTTCGCGCCCTTCGGGGTTAACACTTAGACACCGGTCTAAGCATAAACACTACACAAACAAATATAACACAATACAATTATACCAATAGACACAATCAACACCTTGGCCAAATCCCAAGAAAAATTGGGAAAGAAAATTCAACGCCACCTAACCAATTTTAAGAAAGACTACAAGCAGAAAAACCGAGCAATATTATCAAGACAAAATAAATCTGCTCGAATCAGTCTGGAAAGAGATCTAGAGAAATCATGTGGAAATTGATAAACAAGAGCGTCATTCTCATGTATACTACACCGATAAGTACATAGAACAGCTTACCAAAATCTATAAT